TGGCGGCGGCGGCAACAACAATACTACAGCGAGAATAAAAGTTACGCCACCTTTCTTTGCGTGAACATGTGGGCGGTGTTATGCAAATCGTCCCACACAGTGACATAGACATGTTGGGGCGTGTTTAAATGAGGCGTTTTATGAGGGTGTGGACAAGTCTTAACTTTTATAAAGAATATCTCTTTGGATTTGAGACTTTAGTCTTTGCAACTTTACAGATCTTCTTTATGCACCAAGAGCTTGTAACACTCCAAAGAGAAAGGAAAAATTTAAATCGCATCATATGACCCCTTTAATGATGGATGAATATTTGTAAACTGTACTTCATAATGCTAGTATTGGACTATGCAAAAGTGTGAGTTTTTGCATAATAAAGAACTGATAAAAGCCTTAAAGTTCTTTTTAATGTGATGCTATGACAATCTCCAAACAATTATTAATATGGCTTCAGTGTGATAATTATAGGTATTTGAATACTTCGTGTTAGTCACTATATTTCACTTACAACTGTTTTTCAGCTAAGATGTGAAATCATCAGCAAAAGTCAAACAATAATTTTGAATTTATAGCAAATATGTGTTAAATTGAACTGAATTCATAGCTGCAGTTAAATAGTACAAAACACGTTAGAGCAGTTTTAGTTTTTATTTATATTGTTCTTTTTTTTTTCATTTTTTTTTTTTTAGAAGTTTATATTTAAAAAGAGCATTTTGACAATGCCCATTGTAATAACATCAGGCAAATTAAAACATTTGCTTTTTGACAGTTATTACTAATTATTACATTTGTTTTATCTCCTGATTTTTTTAAGATAATTGATCATAAAATCGATTATTTGTCCCACTTTACCTGGTGTCCCATTCTTGCTGAACCCACAAGTAACTGACTTGCATAAATAGCAACTAACAAACAGATTCCCCATATGTATGTTGCGCCAGTAGACATGATAATGTTTTCATTATTTTCCAATAAAGATTGAAGGAGCGCCTTGGTAACTATTAGCAGGAACCACTGCCAATTATAGCTTTTAATTAACTTTCTAGTTGCTTATGAGATTATCACATGTAAAATAAGCTTGGCCCCCCTCTTTTTTCTTTTTTTTTTCTTAGGCACTGAACCGTTAACCATCCTATTTATACCAAGCATCATTATAGCACTGTCAAAAAATGGCAAAGTAGGACAAAGTAAGCAATCACAGGCTTCGGTGACAAATGGATTTTTGTAGGGCCTTCAAAGTCTCTCCGTTAAGACTGGATTTCCCTCCCCGGGGACTGTGTATGCTTGGAGAATAGAGCAATTTATTTCAAACTGTAATCACTAAATACAGCGATGCATCACAAGGCTGCTGGTACTGTATGTGCATTTGAGGAGTCATGGCTGGAATAAAGGGTTTCCATTCATCAGCCTCAAGCCCAGATGAACCGATATCAATCTCTGTATCTAGAGCTACTGTATCGTATTGATCTTGTCCCATAATATGCTGTAACGAGGGCTGTAGAAAGGAAAAAACCCAAAACGAAACACTCCAGTCTCACCAAAAGTGAAAACATGCTTCTGTTTGCTGAGTCACATGCTTTATTCCCAGCATGCAGTTGAGTGATGGAAAAACACAGGTTTGTGTAACAGGACTGCTTTGACAGTACTAAATAAATAAGTGGTTGCCTACTGCCTCCGTATGAGTGCGGCCACATCGAAGGCCGCCTCAAATAGAATGAATTGGAGAAGCATACCGCCTCGTTTTCTCTATGGACTTAGAGCTGAGTAAGTTTAAGTGCAGCGTTTAAAGGTTGCCTATCTTTTTGTATGCCTATCAGGCAGGTTTTGCTCACAACCATTTTCCAATTTAGATGAATGCGCTCTTTATAGCTGTAAAAACCTTGGCAGGTATAGTGTACTCAGGAGCAGAATTGAGAAAATGAGATCCAGAGTTCTGGCCCAGGCCTACCTGATCCGCCCACATGGTTTTGCAACTGTTCACCAAAGGAATCTGTTTTATCTGGCAAATTAGAGCTCGTCTTTCTATTCTTGATTCTGAGGTGAGCCAGTATGAACCTCAGCATTGGCCTTTTGCATGCTTGGCTTCCAGGCAGCTGTGAAGTAGAGCAAAACTTCTAAAGAAAAATCAAAATGTATTCTTTTTTTGTCCAGATAAATGCAACCGCTGCACTGATGAATCCTCAGATGTTACAGAAACATCCCAAACTCCGATACCAGGAGATAACACTTCAGACGGGCAGGATCACATGACCGAGAACCACACCCATGATGATCTTGTTAGAAGTAAGTGTTAACAAATGTGTGAGTCATGTAATCCAAACATGCTTGACATCCTTGGCCAGACTCCAGTGACACTTGTTTATGCATATTTTTGGTGAATGTTGCTCGAAAGTTTAGTATTCGCTTGACTGAGAATGAATCGTAACTTTCACTTTCTACAACTAAAGCAGTGTAACCGATGCCATATCTACAGAAAAACAGTTCCCTTAACGGTTTTATTGAATCAGAAATATCTAGTTTTGAACTTAATTTTTTTTTTTATCAGTCAGTGATACGTATATGAAACTGATCTGATATAAAGCATTTCTCTTGTTACTAGTCAGTACTTTGCCATAAACTTCAAAGAGTTTGTGATCCAATCTCATTTTGGATTATCAACCGACATCAACCTTTGTCAGCATTTTCTACAGTTCTGCGCAACTGAAATCTGAAGCTTACATCTAAAAAAAAAACACTGATGTGATTTTAAAACGTTTACTGTGATGATAATTGATTTCAGTATTTACTGCTGCGATGATATTCTTTGCCTTTGGGGGTAGCTTTTGATTTGAGATTATGATAATGAATAATCTATATGTAAGTGCTTTGCTTGCTTGCTTTTAGTTGGTAAGATAATGCTATAGGTGCAGAAGCATTGAGTCTTGGCATTAGTTTGAGTGAAGTGTGTGTTGATTAAAAGATAATGTACTGAAATTGAACCAGCGTCTTTCTATTGCAGTGAAGTTGTTACTTTCAGTTGTTCTCCTGCCAAAGTCTCAGAAGCCTAGTGAGCAAGGATATCCCATTGTGGTTTGGCCTTGGTTGGCCTGGATCTGGAAATCACGGCTGAGAACTTGATTGTACTGAAATAGGAGCTCTCTTACCTGGTAAAGCATGGGGTTGCATCATAGGGACTTTTCTTGTTCTGCTCTGTACTTTAAAATGTTGAGCTTGATAACATCTTGGAGGTTGTTGTTCTGCATGTAAGATTGAAGTTGGATAAGCTCAGTTGTTGAACTGACTAACTCAAGGCATTGTTTTATGCAAATGAGGTCAGATGGATGTGGAGTGATGGAAAATCTCACTCATCACTGAGACGGTTGGAAATAATTAGGGAAACAAAGGATGTGATTGGAAAATGCTCACCACTTGTTTTTGGAGGGGGAAAAGTCCTGACACACCCACTTCCCACAGTCCTGTTGTGTGGAAATCTGGTGGACCGTGCTAGAAACCTGTTCCCTGCAAGATGCAAGTTTGACACAAAAATAGCCTGTTTCTCATCTATCAACCTTGTTTCCTTTCCTCTCTTTCTCTCTCTCTTGTTCTTCCTTTTCCTGTCTGTCTCTCTTGCAGTATGCTGACTTTGTCCTAATTTTCTCTCTTGAGATGAGTTCGTACTAGCGATATGCACACACTTTCAAAGGTTTGGGGTCAGTAAGATTTTTCTTTTTGAAAGAAATTAATAATTTTAATGCTTTTCAGAATGCATTCAGTTGATCAAATGTGGCAGTAAAGATATTTATTTTTCAACTAAATGTTGTTCTTTTGGGCTTTCTATGCATGAAAGAAAAAAAAAAAATGTATCACTGTTTCCACAAAAATATTAAGCAGAACTGTTTTTAACATTGATAATAATAAGACATGAGTGGAGAAAAAAGCAACTGTGCCATCACAGGAATAAATTACATTTTAAAATATATTCACTTTTGAATGGTATTATTATTATTATTATTATTATTAAATAATTATAAGTGAATATATACACAAGGCTCTATATGTGAGAATTTATTCATTTTTAGGTATTTGGGATTTTAAGAACAAGTGGAAAATGTGCTGAATGTTTCATCTCATCCAAGTGGAATTAGCAAGCAGTTAGACTGAATTTACATTTGTTTTACACGCGGAGTCAGGCGCGAGTCGACACAGGTTGCGTGCGTGCGTCAAGCCTCATCCATACTGCCAGATGCGCTCGTGAAGACTTGCGGTGCGGAGCTGGGTGCGAGTATAAACGAGCATTACGAGACAGGCTGTGTGAGTGCGGCAAGCATGAACGGCTTTGTCGTGAC